TCCTGTTTTTGAGAAGTGTTGGTCACAGAGGTTTAGACTTTAGAATGCAAGAATGCTGATTTCAAAAACAGATTTGATACCTGAAATCCAGGGAAACACATTAATAACATTCCAGTTAATTCTTTTCTTACAAATGAGGAAGGTTAAAAACATGTTTGCACACTGTATTGTTTAAATGTTAGGTAAGAATGGAATTAATACACTAATTCTTAACATTTTATCTTGGGAAGTGTTAATATAATTTGTAAAATTGTCATCATTTAGAATGGGAAACTTACACAGTTGACTTCATGATCACCAGATAGTCCCTTCCTTCATGCTTCTCTTAGCTCTTCAAGTTGTGGTTTATTCAAATATTAGAATTTAGGGATTTAAATAACATGAGAAATATTTTAATATACAGTAGATGTCTTTAGTCTAAAACATGTCAATATTATTTGGCATTTCCTGACTGTGTAATAGTTACTAGTAGATTTCAACTGATGATTAGCAGATCTGTCAACAATCAACATTCAGGTAACTGTAGTAATCTTAATTGTTACGTTTGATCAGTTGAGTCATCTACAGCGTGAGTGCCTCAATTTGTGATTGAACCATTGCAGGTCAAGGAAACAGCTGTTGGTTCTAAAGAGACTGTGTGTGAAAGAAACAGATTTTCCTTGTGTTTTAATTTATAAAGAAATCATAATCATACAGTAATATCAATAATATAATGAATAGGTTATGTAATAATTATATTAAGGCATGATAGTGTTATCTATAAAATAAGAATATAACAGAAATGAAGACAAAAATAAATAAATGAATTTCAGAAAGCATTACTACATTGAACTTCTGTATTACTTTCAAAGGGAAACAGTATAACATTATCAATGTTGTGATGTGTAACTGTGAAGTAGTGATTGGAATTAAGATTATACTCGTATTTACAGCATTACATGATTTCCCCATAAATTCATATCATTCACACATTCTTTACTTGACTAATACAGATTGTCAGATAATTAATTTTTGTTACGGCAGGTAAGGTAAATGTATAGACAAAAGATTCACATACTTGATAAGTGCTTATATGAATTTCCAGGTAGATTGTACTGTCCTTGTTAACCTGTGTACCAGTTGTGATTCTGACTCTTGTGCATAAGGACAGGGCAAGCAGAAATTCGACATGTCTGACTAGGTACATTTCCCAGATAGTCTTAATACTTTGAAGCGTGGAATTCATCTAAATAAGATATAAAAGTTTGGTTGCTACCTTGCAAGAAACATATTGTATCACCATTACACATACCAGCCAAGTAGTGCTGCTTGGGGTATATTCACTGTTTATGTTAAGAATCATGTAAGAAACATATATTCTGTGGGCAAAACGCAGAGTTTTGCAAACAGGTAGTACATTCAATAACCACTTGGCCTTAAAGGATTGAAATATAGCCAGGTTTCTAAAGAAGGACACAAGGGGGCCTCTCTTTTGTTCTGTTGTATGTATATTTTGGAAATACCTGAGACCCTGATATATATGTTCAATTTATCTGTTTTTACTAGAACAGTACTTACATTTCTCAAAATAGAAATTAACTTCTTATAACCTACTTCCTCAGCATACAAAACAAAATATTTGTGGAAGAAGGTCTAAATTATTTCTGTGACATCTGTCATATGTTTGCCTGTAATTGCTCATATTAATTTCTGGTATCAGTTTTCTTTTTGATATTAAAATTATTTACATATTGTAGTGTCTCTAAATATGTTACAATCAAGAGGGCCACCTGTCAGCATAAGGAGTTAAATCTTCCATGCTGGTTTGTATTTAATGAAACCTTCTGTTAGACTGTCTCCATGGTGACTTATCTCTTATAGTGCTGAAAAGCCATGAATTAACTGTTAACAAGATGGCAGAACATGTCTGTCAAGATAATCTCAGATACCATATCCTTCAAAGAGAGATACCTCAAGATTACAGTCTTCTCAGATGTGACACTTACTTTGATGGAAAGATGTGAATATTTTAGAGGAACCTGCTGCCTACTTCTTCAGGGTGGAAAAGTAAGCAGCACAGGAAAAATATGGTGCTGATAGAGGAAATAAAGGACTAAGCCCTGGGCTATGACACCAGATTCCCAGTTCAGTTCTCCCCCCCCCCAATCCATACCAGTTATTTCCCCATGTGGCTTACAATTCTATCCCGATAATGGAGTGCGGAGGTTCTTTCAAATGTGTGTACCAAACTATGCAGTATCATAGTGATAATTGTGTCATGTTAGAAAGCCAGTTAAAAGAAACTTTACTAGAGTTGAATTCATCTAAATTCATAATCAAGCTGTTATATAAAGAGTTAAATGATTCTTCAGCAAGAGCCATAAGACCGTCAGTGAAAGAGGTGATATCAACAGAAAGTTTATGTGAAATCGTTAGTGAACAAACTTCAGTTGAACCAAAGTGGACTGATGTAGTGACTGGAAAGTATAAGAGAATTGCCAGTGGTTGACGGAAAAACATTTATAGAATACCCGTCATAAATAATCTCTACAAATTACCTTGCAATAGTGAAGTCCGCGAAACCCAGGTCTTTCATCTGAGAACCAAGAAGTAAGAAAACACTACAAAAAGCAAACATCACCAGAAACATTTCAGAAGAAGATCCAGCTCCTAAAAGCTGTGTTGTTGTTTTCAGAAATATCAGATTGTGAAAAAATCCAGGAAACCAGCAATTGTAAATGTAATGTACACATACATGTACCATCAGAACACTTTAGAACTGTTTCCTGTTTGGTTTCTTATCTTTACAGTTGTTTTTGTACCCCTTCTCTGCTTACCTAATTTTCTTAGCATGACACTGTTAAGAACATAATGTAATGCAATACGGCTGTAAAGTAAGCTGTGAAGGAGTTACAGTGCATTTTGTTCATACAATGCAGTGCAGCGAACTTGGTCTCTGTTCCCCTTAAAGAAATTAACTTGTGACCAATGGTTACTAGGAGAGCCTGTTGTAACTGAGTGGTGGCCATGATATTAGTGTACATACTGTAATGATATGTGATAGTAAACCATGTGATTATGGTTGCCTAATTTTAATTTTTTGTATGTACACAATTTCAGTTAACACTGTTTAATGTCTATAATTCATTCTGAATGTACAGATACTAAGTAGCATAAAATGGTACGATGGAAATTGTTTTTATTTCCTTGTCCATCTCTCCCAACACATGCCAAAGTATATTATATATAGCAGGGGTAACCAAACTTACAGAGCATCAGTGCTCGTGTGATAATTTTCATAAGCTTGGGAGCCACGTACATTTACAGACATGGACCGGATAGCTTGCTGTTTATGTACATGCTTTCCTCATGACAGGTAAGCCACACAAAACAGTTTAGAAGAGTTGATGTGGCTCGTGAGTCAGAATTGGGTCATGTCACTTGTTTGTAGCAGAGTTTGGTTACCCTTTGGGGGGCTCAGGAGGATGGGGAAATGCAGGAGTAATTAACCTGAATAGCTGAAAACAGTGATGGGGTACTATACTGTTCACAGCAAAAATATTGTTGCATGTCATGAATAATAAATTTAGTAATGTACGAGGTATTTAATTTAGTGTTGTACTTATGACAACGACCAGTTGTATTCTTATCTGATGATGAGTCAGGATCAAAATTGGCACAACCATTTTAAGAATGAAAATGCAGTGAGGTAAGTTATTTTTTCAGACTCAATAGTGTCTTAAGTACTTAGAACAAAAGGATATTTTTCACACTTCTTTGATAGACCACATAATTCATGTACCTCACAGATCTGGGAATATGACCATCAGACTGTATATATAAGTGGGAACCAATGTTGTAGGTGAACATGCTAGTTCCATCTTCACAATTGAAGGTGGAGCCAGTTAGTATCCACGTACTAGACTGCTCAATGTCAAAACCCAGAAGGCTAGATTCTATGATTTTTCGCTACAGAAACCGCAAATCTAGTACATAGGTCAGTTTAAATGGCTCATGGAGAATCAAGTGTTTTCACATTAGTTTCAATACCATCATAATACATTGTACCATATCTGATAAATACCATACAGTGGAATATATTTTCAACAGCTCAACATGTTTGACCCTTAAATGACTAATTAGAATATGATACTTGATTCTTGTTGATTGTAAAACGTATGAGATAGAATAATTATGTGAAAACAATGAGTAATTTAACTAAATCATTGATGTAAATTATGCCCCTGATGATAGGCCCTTAACAGTCAAAATATGTTGAAAATATATTACATGTAATTGCATTGTATTAGGAGCCAGGATAGCATAGTCGGTATAGCAACTGGCTACAGGCTGGACAACTGAAGGGTTGGAATTTGAGTTCCGGTAGGGGTCAAGAATTTTCTGTTCCCCAAGTTGTCCAGACCAGCTCTTGGGTCCACCCAGCCTCCTAGCCAATGGGTACCAGGGGCTCCTTCCTCGGGGGTAAAGCGGCCACGGCGTGAAGCTGACCACTCACTGGCAACTAGTGCCAAGGTCAAGAAAATGCAGTTCTATACATATACTCCCCCATACATCTTCATGGCGTAGTGCTTAATTAGTTAAGCACAGGGGCAACTTTACCATAATTGATAGTATTAATTAAATACAATATAGGTTCATATGTTTTCATAACAGAATTCAGCAATATTAACTGCATAAGTTAGTAAGCAGATCAGTGATGATAAGTATTACAAGGTAGAGCTACCTTGTGAAGATGTATAGGAAGTATGGAGGTCCTGAGCAACTTGACTTGAGCAGTAGCACTATCCTGACCTGATTTTTATGGTTTTTATCACTCCATTTTTGCATATACTGGGTTAGTACTTCAACTTAGGCGGCATTATATCCAATTCACTATCATCCTATAATTTTACAGTGTATATAGGCTGAAACAGTAGCATTGTCACTGAATAAACCATAAATGTAAATATTTAAGTATGGAGGTCAGATCCACACTTCCTAGATGGAGGTGCATGGTTAGTTTAAGACTCCAGTTGGTTTACATCTCGGGAAGAGCCACCAGTACCCACTAGATGATAGACCTGATAGCTGGTCTGGGTGTGACTGCAAACAGAAACATCTTGGCTGAGAACTGAACCCTGGCATTGGGTTTCAATCACAACAATATTCAGCTACCCAAAGTTCTTATAGTATCATTTCCATTCTCTACAGGTCAATGGTCCCTCCCTTCTTGATGTCTTCCAGTACCTCACCATACCATCTTGTCTGTGTTGTTCCATATCTGTTTTCCCTTTAAATTGCAGTCTAATGCCTACCTACTTAATTATTTAGATTCTTAGCTTAATTTCTGTTGTATAGATATGCAAAAATTTTAATAATATTGTGACGAGCTATCTTACATCCATCACCACGCAACAGCTACAATGGAAATTGTGGAGATCCCACAGTGATAAATCGTAGCGATGAAGGCTGTTGAGTAACAGCGGATGAGACGAAACTCGTTACCAGCGTGTAAAGAGCGTTCTCGAAGCAACGGATTGCCGAACATGTGAGATCGAACCTTGGCGAATGGTGTCCTTTATCTGGTCCGCAGACGAGACGAAACTCGTTACCAGCGTGTAAAGAGCGTTCCCGAAGCAACGGATTGCCGAACACGTGAGATCGAACCTTGGCGAATGGTGTCCTTTATCTGGTCCGCAGAACACCTACATAAGCCGAGAGCGACAGAGCTACGACCACCACAGAGCTAATTAGCCTTCATACAATGCAGTTGGAACCTAGTCAAGACATCACAGAATTCATGTGATACCACAAGTGAAAATAATTGTATGGTGTATAAGTGTGAGTGTCCAATATAGAGTCGCTAAATCCGAGACCCACGTGAAGTTATTTGTTGCATGACACACCCAACACGACAATATTTTAGCCATTACAAGTATGTAATATGAATGATGGTAGCTCAGTAAACTGATCTGATATCGCCTTACTGCTAGTAACTTTAAGTTAAATGAAAGAGTCTATCCTCAAATAATAATATCATCATATCATCTGGGATGTCATGGTGTAGGGTCTGGTATAAATTGATCCGCATATCAGAAGAACATACCGCCATCATTTCCTGGGCTGAAGAGTAAGCCAAGGAAGTAGCCACCACTAAGTTGGCTGATTCATCGACTCCTGTAGTAGCAGTACATTCCTCTGAAATGTCTGTAAACATCTACCAGACAACTAGGTGTCGCATCCCAGAAGGTACTTTTCATAGCCATCACTGTGAGAACTCAAAGTCTCACGAGTCTGTCTTTATTTTTCTTTCTGTTATTACATTTTTAGTGTAGATATTTTCAAGATTTTAGTGACTAAAGGTGGGGTTTTGATCAGTAATTTGATATACTGCATTCTTACAACTCATAACTACAAGTAAGGATTATGCTTTCACTACACACTCCACAAATCATTGTAGGACACTAGGTCTTCTCAGTCTGTTATAGTGTTCACTAGCCATTGCTTGCTAACAATGAATGGTTAAGTTCAGAATCCAAAATGCTCATTATGGAATAAAAAATAGAGGAATTACAAACTTACAGGCACAGTAAGTGCAGAAAATTTGCTCACAAACTTATATTTAAGTCAGTTAAGAGGATTTCTAATGATTGTGCTAGTGTTCAGAATGGAAAGATATATTTTTAAAATATTTTTACTAATTATTATTGTTTTATTTCCTTCTTTTATTAATTCTGATTCCCCCCCAATATCTGGGTCAAAAGAAAACGCCTGGGATTTCCAGTTCCTGCTACTGATCACATTTGCAAGGTCTAATACACAGTAACTCTAAAATGTGCCACAATGCCTCCAAATTTACAACTCCCGTTTATGTACCTTGAACATTAAGAGTGTGCAGGAAGAATGAAAAGTAATTTATGAGGCAGAGATTGATCGACTCCCTCCCCAGTCAAACCTCTGAAGCCTGGAATTCATACGAATAATGTACTCTGGCTTCCATGGCAATATGTGACACCATCTACATGAAGTCAATACAGTGCCACATCCTGGATAATCTAAATTGTTCTTCAAATACAGTTCTCACCTCACACAGAACAGCATCTCCGTTACAGTGATCACTTAGTTAATTCTGTTAAGGGAAATAATTGTTTAATGTGATAATCCTACAAATCCATGAATACACTGTGTGGGCAGAACACATAGTTTGTAATTGTTGAAGCAGTTGATATACATTGTTACCACTGTGCTTCAGAGGGCTAAACTCATACTCAGGTAGCACTGTACTCACCTGAAACGCAAGCAATACTTAGAAGCGACAAATATGGTGAGGTTAAATTTACAAACAGGTCCAAGTGCCATGCTATGAACAGGAGGCAGAACAATACCTGTGTCTTGGCAGATATACCTAAAAACAAAATAAAATAGAATATTAATTAATGTAATGAGTAAGTATTTTGATCTTGATTCATTCTGTATATTTAATGACATTGTCAGTATCTCTGATTATAGAGTAACAAATGGTAGTATGATAATGGATTATATAGGATGTATAAATGGAATATAAAGTGATTATGGTATAGTCTGATTCACTGTTTTTGGCATTTATCTGAAGGAACTAACACAAACTGGAAAGAAACTTTGTCAGTACAGTCGGTGCCCCAGTTTATATTTGAACTAGGCACCTCCAAAATACAAATCAAAAGACTGAAAGGGAAGATTAAGGGAGACAAACAGNGTAATTGTTAAAGCAGTTGATATACATTGTTACCACTGTGCTTCAGAAGGCTAAACTCATACTCAAGTAGCACTGTACTCACCTGAAACGCAAGCAATACTTAGAAGCGACAAATATGGTGAGGTTAAATTTACAAACAGGTCCAAGTGCCATGCTATGAACAGGAGGCAGAACAATACCTGTGTCTTGGCAGATATACCTAAAAACAAAATAAAATAGAATATTAATTAATGTAATGAGTAAGTATTTTGATCTTGATTCATTCTGTATATTTAATGACATTGTCAGTATCTCTGATTATAGAGTAACAAATGGTAGTATGATAATGGATTATATAGGATGTATAAATGGAATATAAAGTGGTAATGGTATAGTCTGATTCACTGTTTTTGGCATTTATCTGAAGGAACTAACACAAACTGGAAAGAAACTTTGTCAGTACAGTCGGTGCCCCAGTTTATATTTGAACTAGGCACCTCCAAAATACAAATCAAAAGACTGAAAGGGAAGATTAAGGGAGACAAACAGGAAACAGAAACTCATCAGCACAGCACTTCTACAGAAGCAATTGAATGTTGGCAGAATACTAATGCAAAACATCTACCACTACCTGAGAGACACAGCATTCTCAGGCCAGTCAAGGACTTTCAGGGTGTTGCTGTTGGGGTCTACATGTTCACTAGCTAATGTGGAGCCATCTACATTCCTCAGCTCAGTAGAGTTACTGAAGAATGCACAAAGAAACTTCAGCCAGATCAGTGGCTCTACCATCCAGTACAAACAGCAGTGGCAGAACACTGAAACAACCAGCCATAACAGTCAGCTTATACCAGAACTTTAATAGAGAAAAGGACTACCAGTTAAGTTCTGACAGAGAGATCATCCAATAGCAAAGGATGCCACAGCCACATTCATCCTACAAAACCCATGCCAGTGTGGGAAATAACTGAAGCAGGCTTACTTCCTCCAACTGTGGACAATCAATCACGTTTTCGGCTCTTCTCCCTCCTAGGATACACCGTTCCCAACTTTTCTTCCCTCCCATTTCCTTTAAAACCTACTCTCTACCAACCAGGACCCTGTGCCACCTTCTACGCCTCCCGGCCCACACGGGAAGTTAAGCAACAATGTGGTTAGTGTGAGACTGAATTGGCGACCGCTTGGGTGCTACCGGCAGCCTATGGGGACCAGCTTTATCGACACAAAACGTCAGCAATTCCTAGGTGAAACAAAAAAGGCATGAACACTGAATGGGAAATTACATGTGCACGATTCTTTTCTGTACATATACAATTACAAACCGATTACGGTTATAAGATACGTCATATCTTCTAAAAGAATACGCCTGTCAACATTCAGCAAAACTGGTGAAAAACGCCTTAAAAATACCACTTAAAAATACTAAGCCAAATGGAAATCTGATTATTCGACATTTCAGTCATAGCGGGCATAGGGGTCATAGCTTTCAGTGCCACAGCTTTATCGACCGTTATCGACTATAGTTCGCAATGCAGCTCGAAGATGGCGCAACTTCGATCTTCTATCAAGTACTGGAGCGAAATATGGATACCCAATTTGAGCCGAAAACATTTGACTGAACTGGCAAAATAATGGAATTGTTCACGTTTTGTAGCTATATAAATGCAGTTCTTAAAAATCAAGTAAGTTTAAGTCAAGTTTAAAATAGAACACTTTTCTGTGCGCTACATCTGTTGCAATGAACGAAGTCCAACTGTTGACAGCATTTCAGGTTATCAGTGCTAGAGAATAAAGGACTAGAGCAAATAAATAACATAAATAAGATAAATAAGAACCACATTCTACAGAGTCTTTATATAAGGTAAGTGAAATGTTTTACATATACTGGTTCGGTGTGGTTATGCTGTTTTGTTTTCATGATTTCAAGCCTGATGCAGTGATAGTCCTGCGGCCAATGACGACCAAAGTACTTTTTGAGTTCAAATTTCAGCGAATTTCTATATTACATTTAAAATTTTCTGTCAAAACTCACATATATAAAATCATTAATGGGTTATTAAGTTTATTGAGTTCATGCATGTAATTTGGCGGTAAACAGGTACCAACTTTTTGAGGAACCTGCTACCCCTCTCTCAAGTACCCTGAAGATTACAATCTGCACAAGAGTGACATGCATATCCCATTCAGGGATGTACGTAAAATAAACGTTTTTGGGTTGTACTCACTTCTTAACATCATTCTATAAAGAACTCATGCCTTTTGACTGTATTTGGTCTGCTTCGTTTTTTTTTCCAAGTGCCTGAACTGGACAGAACTCGTTAACAGGTATTTCATATACTACCGAGTATCGATAAGGACTATCGACTAAAGTAACAGGTATTCATAAGAGATGGCAGAGTTATGACATTGTTAGTAGCTTCGTTGTAAATGCAAAAGTGTCGTACAGATTAGTTTCATGAATTTACCCAATAATAGTGCGCAGTACAAATGTCCAGTAATATGAAACAATCACGCATGCGCTAATTTTCAGCTGGAATAAGATGGGGCGAACGAAACGAAATGTCAACAGTTACGCATGTCTTCTTGCTGGTTAACCGCGTGCTGGTTTAGGTCATTGGTACTTGGTATCAAGCACGACTCAAAAATAATAACCTAAATGGTACTCCTTAAACTTCACGGATTCTGTTCCTTACTGAATATGTAGACGGATTTCAGTTAATGGCGTCTTGGAAATAATTGTTTAAGAGAGGTATGTACGCATGCTATAAACAACATGATATCCGAATTGCTATGCATGTACTGAGACCGTAAAGGAGGATTCCAAAATGTGAAGCTCCTTAAAAGGTTCAAATGCGTCTATTACAGTGTCACAGTAAATTAATGTTTTTTGGTGCTACATGAAATTAGAACTAAATTTTAGAACCTGAAATGAGTAAAACTAGAAAATGATTCATATGCATATAATTTTAGAATTCGTTTGCAGTCTTAAGTTTTGTAAGATATTCTGTGTATATTGTTATTATTAATTTAAAATTAGTCTACCAAATTAATCAGAATGAGCTTGCATTGAAGTATGCAGTTATTTAGTCAGTTAATGTTTTTTTATTCATAAAACGACAGTACAACCACGAAAAATTTACTTTTCACTTTAGGATATTTCGAAGTACAGTACACATTACCATCGCATGGGTACAAAATACACAGTGTTTTACCCGTCGGTACTGATTTGCAGTGCGCCACAACTTTATATATACTTTTATCTCTGTTTTGAGCTCTATGTTGGGAACATTTTTTTTTTTAAGTTTTACATTTCTGATAAGAGCCACTTTTTCACGATTCAGATTTTTGAAGTCGGTGTCAGATGTAATTTTAAGTAAAAGTTAATGTTGTCCCTGTGTTTAGCTAATGAAACACTGCGCCATGAAGGCGTATGGGGGAGTGGATGTATAGATCCACACTTTCTTGACTTCGACACTAGCTGGAGGTGAATGATCAGCTTTACGCCCCTGCCGCTTTACCCCCGGGGAATGGGCCCCCAATACCCACTGGATAGAAGGTCTGGACATCATGGAGAAGAGAACATTCTTGACCCTACCGGATTCGAATTCCGACCCCTCGGTCATCTAGCCCGTAGCCAGTCGCTATACCGACAATGCTATCCCGGGTCTGTAATTTTAAGTATTAATTTAAAATAGTGTCAGAATGAGTTTAAATAAGAAATAATCACTGTTCAAAAAATACGAGTTAAATATTTCATAGAATTTAATTTTCTAAATAAGAGAATGAAAGTATTTCTTTTAAATAAAAATAGAGCTGCAAGTCAGACTAATCTATTTCATTTACTGATATCGTTTCATTTCGATGGGGTTTTACACGTCTAATATCTTCAGATGTTTATTTATCATGTCGTATATTACTATATATTGTGTATGTGCTGTACTTATTTTTTTTTTAATTCGCTTAAAGGGGGGGTGGAGTCAAACTGGGTCCACTCGGTACGGCGGCCTCTGATTGTCCTATTGTAGCCTGCCCGGGTGATTATGATGATGGAGAATTTGGTGGAATGAAAATTGTCAGGGGAAACCGAAGTACTCGGAGAAAACCAGCTCCAGCGCCACTTTGTCCACCACAAATCCCACTTGACCAGACGTGGGATCTTACCCGGGCCGCCGCGGTGGGAAGCCAGCGACTAACCGCTTGAGCTATGGCGCGGCCATGGGCTGTGCTTACTTTCTTTAAGAATTTTCTGTCATTGGTTAAACTTTTGTCGCTAGTGGTACCCTCCTTAATGTCAGTTAACGATGCACACCGTTTCTATAGGCCAGCTTCGCTTTAGGCCTACCGAGTGCCTAGTAATATCGGTCCGTCCGTCCGTATGTACGCATGAAGCAACGGCAGAGCGGCTAAGAGAATTGTTAAGGGCTCTGGTCGCCCTTGGTATCGGTCGGTATAGCGACTGGCTACGGTCTGGACCGTCTGGACTACCGAGGAGTCGGAGTTCGAGTCCCGGTAAGGTCAAGAATTCTCTTTTCTCCACGTCGTCCAGACCGGCTCTGGGGCCCACCCATCTTCCTATTCAATTGGTAGGGGGGGCTCTTTCTTTGGGCGTAAAGCGGCCGGAGATTTTTTAATATGATTTTAATCATCATTTGTAACTAATTCCTTTTTTTTAAGTTACATGAGTGAAATTTAATTTCTTAATATGAGCGTTATTCCTTTTCTAAAGTTTTAGTTACTGCATATTATGGATCTGTCAAGAAGAACAAGCATATTTCGGTAGAAGAACAAATATTTCTTTTTTTATATAAATTCAGTCTTATAAATATATACACGTCCATTTTGAAATGCCTAGATTTGCTGCGATTATTTTTTTTTGTTTCTTTCTTCCACTCCTGAATAACTGTTTACTTTGGCAAATGTTAACCTGTTAGAGCACATTGCTTTCAATGTACAGCCTGGTTTAGCTTTAAAATACAGAGAATTTTGCGAAGAGAATTCACTTGTAGGACTCGAATCTTTCTCGATATAAACAGCGATTATTTCCGCTGGCCTTTGTAGTGGAGAAATAGTATATTCTCTGTGAGGTACGAACTGAATTTATAAATATTATTTAGATGAACTTGCTTCAGAGGATTAAAATTTTTTTTTCTTTCACAGAAGTGTTACGATCTATTTTACTTTCACACAATAAAGTATTTTAGCAAAACTATGCTCATTGGAATTAGTTAAGTAATTCTAACACAAGCCATCCTAATTTAATTCAGTTTATCATCATTTTATGAAGATGTTTCAAACACCAGCCATTTCCATGCCCCCGTACCTACAGAGCGGCTCTCATACGGATGGATGAACGAATTTTCAAGTTATGAAAATCTCCGTTTTGTCAGATAATGTTGGTATAAGTGTTCAGTGGAACCGGGATAATTCAAGCGGCATTGCGACGAGCTAAATACTAATGACAAAAGAATGGAACAGGTCCCATCTACAAGTGTCGAATATCCGTTTGAAAACGGAAGAGATCGATCAAGAAAATATACAGAGAACTTACGTCGTAAAACTTGCATAAAATGACACCAGTCATGTAAAAGAAATTGAGCAGGGGTCACAACAATGAACATTTATTATTATACAAAAATCTGTGTATTTTTTTTTAACTGATGGTTCCATGGAAAGAGCATGAAGGGGGCAAACCTTCTATGCATCCGTAATTTAAAATTATAGTACGAGAAAAAAAAAACTTTTAACAAAACGCAACAAAGCAACTCTGTCCTTATAGTCAGCGTAGTTGGCCCAGTAACTATGTAATATACACAGGGTGTCCCAGGAGGAAAGTTCAGTATTTTGGGAGGTCATAATATTGGTCATTCTAAGCAAAAATAAAATTATATATACATGTGTCCTAGTCCGAACGGTTTCCGAGATAGAGCTATTTCATTGTACCGTTCCAAAATTGTTGATAGGAAAGATATATTACGTTGTGTCTCTAATGCCGGTATTTAATATTCAAGTGACAAAGTTGATACATTTCATCTAGTAGACTTTAAAGGATTCTGACGATGGTGTATGCTGTACAGAACTATGAGGCTCCTTTTGGACTTTATCCATCTGGTATATATAAGACAAAAAACCACAACGTTTCGGAGACTGGATCTGTCTCCGTCCTCAGGTGGATGGGGCAGGATAGACCTACTCAGTTGGGTCCGTTAGAAAGAGCTGGTACAGTGATTGAGACTAGCTCTTTCTAACGGGCCCAACTGAGTGGGTCTATCCTGCCCCATCCACCTGAGGATGGATACAGATTCAGTCTCCGAAACGTGTTTCTTTTTGTCTTATATATACCAGATGATGGATAAAGTCCAAAATAAGCCTTATAGTTCTGTTCTTCTAGTGCATTACATTTTCGAAAATTCCATCGTCAACGTCAATACACTTTGCAACTTGTGTGAGGACATGGCGTGTTGCTCGTCTGTACAGTGTACAGTGAAACAGCTCTATCTCGGAAACCATTCGGAATAGGACACATGTGCCTATACATTTTCTTGCTTAGAATGATCAATATTACGACCTCCCAGAATATATTTCTTTCCTCTTGTGCCATTCTGTATATGTACATAAATTTGTAAGCATTGACCAATGTATATACTGTCAAGCAACAGTATATGTAAAATGACCTGATTATATCCAGTAGACCGAACATTTGTATAATAAAGCAACTGTGTATGATTTATTTAACCATATGCAGTGTTTGTGCTGACGGATCCTCATATTCATTAACAAGTTTCCAGAAAGTTTACAGATAAGTAAATCATAAATGTCTCCTTCTTATAATTATTGACTTTTGGGATATTATCCGTCGTTCTGTTTTCTTTTAAGAACATTTCGGAGACTGGGCTCTGCCTCCGTCCTTAGGTAAAAGCCTACCCAGTTTGGCTTAAACAGAAGGGTGGAAAATGTTTAAAAAGTCTGTAATTCTATTAACCCTTTAGAGGCCGAGTTAGAGTCACTTTAAGACTGGCGGTTTACCGACAATCAGTTCATCTTGGCAACAAGCCATTTGAGAATCACTACCAGTAATTTTATTTTCCAACTGAACTTTTACGGTTATAGTCCTTATGTAACATCCTCTTTGACGAGAGGATTGGTCTATCGTTTTCAATTGGTGCTGGCCTTCGCCAGTGCAGTCATTCTCAGGTCCGAGTCCTGCGAGGATCATTACCACAATTTGCAGTATCAGATTCGAGACTTCCCCAACCTAGATGACCAGGTCCCCATATTTATAACCCCCAGAAACCGGATTGCCCCGGTTGTACCCCCCAGGCACTAGATATCCTTTTCGTCGCCTCCTACGACTCGAAGGGCTACGGTGGAGATATTTGACCCTGCCTCCACACAGGATATAAAGGCCGAATTTCTGCGAAGTACTACGTATATATAAATGCAGTTCGTACCTCACAGGAAACACATCACGTCTCCTCTATAACGACCAACCGGTTAATGGTGTTTAGGGAAACAGTCGCAGGTTACTGTGAGAGCCATACGGAACACAGAAGTGTAGTCTGTGTCCAGAATGTAGAGTTTCAATATGTTAAAGCAGGTGGTACATATAGCAACCATAGTGCTTTAAATGTCCAATATGCCATCGTCAGAAACTTTAAGACCTTATTGTTTTATTCTTAGTTTTTTGTAATAGTAGTTCGGTTTAAATTAAAGTATTTACTTAAGATTTAACTGGAATTTTAAAAGACATTG